TATATTAATTTATCAATTATTGCCAAACCTCTCTGCCTCTCCCAATCACTATTCCTCTCCTTTCCTTGCTCCCTGGGTAATAAAATAGCAATAAACTTTGAACCTACAAAATTCAAGCATGCCGAGCATTCAGTGCTTTTCTCTTCTCTTAGTCGACAGATTGCTTATTCCCCCGAGGGAAGACTATAGATGGAAAAGCATTTGTGAGCCTGTGTGTGTGTCTATTAGATACTTAGGCTTGAATTTGTGGCAAATTTGTTCAAATCATTTTTGATTTTCTCAAGGCAGAACGAAACTGAATATCTCTGGTCAAAATGTCGTTAGACAGCCTCCCCCATTTATTTGCACTGGGCTGTAGGCCGTATGCGAGTGCTAGGGTTGAAAAGTGGGCGTGAGCATGTTCACCCATCATCGTGTCCCCTCCCCTTCTTCTGTAAAGCTAGCATTACGCTTACGATTGCGATTACTACATTTGGTGTCCATTTGCCTTTACTCTGTTGTCTGATGTCTTTTTCGCCACATGTGTAAAAAAACTTTGTAACGCCCTTACAAGGCAGCGTATAGGCCTGTACACAGTAATGATTTTCCTTGTTGGGATCCTATCATCGAATTCTATATAAAATAGTCCAAAAGCTTTAACAAGTTAGGAAGAATATATGTCTGTCGAATATAACTTCTTGCATCACATCATTTAGCTGGTCCATCACTGCAATTTCCATCGACTATTTCTAAGATCTAAAATTTCAGAGGCCCCATCCGTCGACACGATGCCATTGTGCTCTAACGTTATGTTCAGTGAATATACTATATTTCGATAAGGCATAAGGATCCAACTATAGAATTCCATTGCTCGTGGATCTTAGTAGCCCTGCGAATATCAAGGCTCTGCTTGATCCATGCAGGGATCCACTCATGTACATGAGCCTACTAAGGCTGCAGCCATTTGTCCGCGCATCTTGGGGGTGCGGCGAAACAGAGTTACTGCAGATGCAGAGCTTCCGGAAACTTACCTTACTTATATATATAGAAAGGAGAAAGCAAGTTCCTGAAAGTCAATAAAGTTTCTTCAATAGGCTTCTGTGTTGCTTTAGGCACTTTATACTACATAGGAAAAGCATTTCTCCTCATGTCATTTGTTTTCCATCTGCGCTGTGACACGTGTTTTTATTAATTAATTTATTATTTTTCTGTTTTTTTTTTTTTTTTTTTTGTGGTAGTCGTGTGGTCAGTTAAAGAAACCCATTACAATCATATTTAGACAGCTTATTAACATAGAGCTCGAGTGACTATATAAGCCTTTTATTCATACATGTGCATGCTAGGGGATTACATATTCACCCAAATTTATATTTGTATATATATATTACCCTAATATCCTCTCGACGCGTAAATGCACTTAAGAGCCACGTGGCACGCCAGAAGAAAAGCTGCGACAATAAATGTAACAGCAGTAATTCAATTAGGAGGGTTCACTGTGGGTGTGAAGCACTTGATGGTGGCAGAAAGCGCGATGGAAGGAGTTAGGAAGAGAGCCCGACAGAGAGCGAGAGACAGAAAGCGAGAGAGAGAGAGAAACAGAGACATGAGAGAGAATTATTTATATTTTTATACCCATTGAGAATGGGAAATCAGGGAATAATGGTTTTGTTAAAAGTATGTAACAGGCAGAAGGAACCATCGCAGACCCCGTAAGGTATATATAGCCTTGATCAGGATTTTTTGATGAATACGAAGATTTTGTAATTTACCGATTTTGGATACCACGCCCCCTTCGCGCCCAATTTATTAAAAACGTATTTTTAGTACTTAAGACTTGTGCTTTGGAATGTACACACATATTTTCACGTTCCTGATCATGATCACGTTCTGAAAGTTTCATAAAGATAGTCCCTCTACAAGAGAAATTATTCAGCAAATAAATTCTCATAGTATTGCCGACACTGCAGCGCAACCCAAGCGCAGTTAGCAGAGCGCGTGGATGCATCTGTATGTGTGTGTGCATAAAAGAAATGCAGAATGATTAGAATATCAGCAAGGAGGTTTCAGGGTTAAAGTTAAAGAATATTTCGATTTATTCATATTTCAGATGAGAACCGCGATGTAAATATGAACTCTGAGGAGGAAGTCAAGCGACAGCGATTATCCTATGGCGGCGACCAGATATATACAAATGTAAGTGCTATTCTATTTGAGGGACAATACAGCTACAACAACAAAAAGTGAATGTTAAGAATGTTCGTATTGAAGATAGATCAGACGCGGATGGAGGCATTCTGACCATGCTTATAGACCGCTCTAGAAGAGGGTGTCTATCGATACACAGAAGTCACCTCAAATTGTAATTGTAGTAAATCTTGTTGGTTTGGTTGGCAGATCTGGTCTGGCAAATGGTGCATCAAGGACGAGCATAAGCTGCTCTCAGAGCTGGGAAACTTTACAGGCTCAGCGACGGCAACGACGACGGCGACTAGCAGTGGGCCAGCCTACTACGAAGCACCAAATGGATATCCGACTAGCACAATACCTTGCGCGGGCGTCGGCAACGACTCGGCCATGATGTACGACAGCATCGCATCGATATCTCAAAGTCAAAGTTCGCTCTATACGCCGCCAATAGGCCCGTCGATTGGTAAGTCAACTGCTCTACGCATCTATTTGCATGATTATACATATATTATTTGTATTTATATATTTATTTATTCATTTTCTTAATCTATGTGACTTTTGTATGTATGTGTGTGTGTGTGTGTGTGTGTGTGTGTGAGTAGGCAGCAGTTCATTGACTCCACTTGTGCCTTTAAATTTGCAAGACATGAAATTCAATGCAAATAATCAGGATCAAAACATATCGCCCTTTTATACAGGTAAGAGATCTGAATAGTTCTGCAAGTACGAGTATAGTGAATGTATATGAGAATGATAGTACGGTGTCTAGACCCTCTATCTAAAGTGCCACCCTTAAGCGGAAATATCTACTTTAATACTTTAATAGTCAATGGGAAAACATGTAGAGATGGGGTATCCCTAACTTGAATACACTTCAAGACACATCGAGGAGACCAACTCGATATTTATCAGTACTATTGGCATTCGATCCAAATACATACGCTCGAAATTAGATGAGGTCAACAGTAACTCAATTATCGAATGGCTTATCTTAGGTTGCAACGAGCAAAATTTCTACATACATATAATTTAAGACCCTAGTTTTATGGATTAACCGAGCACAAAAAGAGGAAAGACTTCTACCGCACAGACTTTACGTACCTAACGGCTGCACGGACTGACATTGTAATCACGTTCCATGAGAGTTCACCGACTGGCAGATATGCTTGGGTTTCGCTTCTCCCTTGGCTCTCTGTGCTCAGCCAGAGGGACAAATGTGCCTATTTTGTAGACGATACACCTAGCGATCTCCATTCCGATCTCAATGCCCCATTCTAAATGAAAATTAATATCAATTCCCGATTTCACGATCAGCAATCGCCATTGAGAGTGGCAGCAGCTATCCCACAATAACGAGCCTGGACAGTGCCAACACGACGACGGTGTTACGTGGCAATATTGCCGGCCGAGGCAGCTGCAATGATTCGCCCACTAACACTAATGGTAATGATAATGCTAACGCCAACGCCAACGCCGATGTCGATGCCAATGCTAATGCTAATGCTAATGCTAATGGTAGTACTAGCTCTAATAGTAATGCCAATGCCAATGCTAATGAGCTTCAGAATGTAGATAGAGCTCCTGTTCATGATGTGTGTAGCGATGAGAATACCAACAACAAAAGTGCACGCAATGATATGGCCAAACAGCGCGGGAGCAGTCTCATTGACTTGCACATACCCATTAATCATCTAATGCCTGACTCATCAGCTACCCAGGATCATCATCACCAGCAGCAGCAACAGCTTCAGCTGTCCGGCAATGGAAGCGCTAATACCTCATCTCTCATAGTCTTACAAGCCAATGCAAATAGCTCAACGGCCGACGGACGCTCTGATGTTGATTATATTGCTGCCAATAGCACAGCTATTTATGCCACGCCCACAATGCTTCCCAGTTTTAGCCACTACTCAGCAGGCAAGTCTCTCTCTCTCCCACTGCCTGTCGCACTCGCACCCGCACTCATTGCCCCTGGCTACTCTCTCTTTCTCGCTCTCTATCTATCTGTCTCTCTTCACTCATGCTATATCTTCCGCACAGCAAACACTTTTATGATTGTGGTGGTGGTGGTGGTGCTGGTGCCGGTGGTTTTAGCACACACGATTACGCGAAGTACCTAACACCCAGACGCACGCGTCTTTCGTTAAAAATCAAATTAACGGAACTACTAAACTTAAAGCTTCAAGCTGCACGCTGAGCTTAACTGAATCTCATATCATATTGTCGTTTATCTTAAAGACTTCTAATGGTGGAGGGATGGTAATAAAGTCAGAAATAGGAATGAGATACGTCTACCTCTATAGATAACTAAATAATCTGTTAACTGCAAAAGTATGATGTCATGCGAAATTTGATAAACGTAAAATAAATTAGTATTAATTGTATTTTTTATTATTCTAGCGTGAAGAGTATTGCACACTTATGGTTTTATTTTTATTTGATTTTACATTCTTTTAATTTGATGCTTTTGATGCTAGATTAAATTTTTTTTCTTACAGCCTGCGGATCAGTTCTACCAAGCACTGATTACGCCTATAGTCCAGCATATACCCAATATGGAGGGACCTATGGATCGTACAGTTACGGAACCAACAGCGGCTTAATAAGTAAGGAACCAAATATTAAGAACAAGTACATATATCATTTATATACAAATATAT